TGTGTTTACACAAGAAGTTGGACAGTAGAACTACGAATGAAAATTCCTCTGCATGTCAACTGGTAACAACTCTCTTTAAGAAAGGGCCTTCTCAGAGAACTAACTAAAATTGTAACACAGACCAGAAACAGACTTTAAGCAAAGTTTTGGATCATTTGTTTGCTGACTTTACTAGAGGATAGCTTAGGTAGAAGAGAATCTTTGTTGATGCTAAAACTTCTTTTGAGTCTTTCATATTTATAAAAACATACCCATATGGGTTTCTAAATGTATTAAGGTGAATAAGCATGCTTGATATATATTTACACTACATATATATTATAAAAGAATTTACTGATGATAATGCAGAATGAATATCTGACTATATAGGATGACATATTTATCATTAGTTCCCTTTTTGATGCATGACTGCTAACAGGAAAATACAATTCTAATTATAACTTTGGAATGTTTAAATTATTTCCATTTTGCACTAAGGGTATCTTGGAACTTAATATTCTATTTTATAAGATATCAGCCAGAGGTCTAAGATTGCCTACGTCTCTACAGGGGGACATAAAATAAAAACATAGAGGAAGACTGGGACTTTTTAACATGTAGATTTGATAAAGTTATACCTTAACTGCTGCTATCATAGTAGTCAAGAAGCAGTTATTGTTGATTATCTGAAAATTACTTAAGAAATTTCCATTAAAATCATAGTTTAAAAGCTTTTCTGAAATAAATAGTTTAGCTTCTTTTGTGAACATGGTGAATATTTTATATTTGGTTATAGAAGCAGCATGCATATTTTCAACAAGAGAGCGTCCTTCCCATAACACCTCAAATAACATATTCAATTTAAAATGTAAGTATGACATTCAGGCTTCATTTGCTGTTGGTGTCAATCTAAAAAAAATATAAATTGATGCAGACAGAAAATTCTAATCTGATGCCCTAGAGCCAGATCCAGTAAAACACTTAAGCATCTAAATTTGGTGTTAAAGCAACTAACTTTTAGGTGTTCGTCCCGCAGAAGGGAATCTCGGCTGAAGTGAGCTGGGTCTTACATTCCTAGGTAGTACATAGGGTAGGTATTGCTAGGCAGGTACCAGTTAGGAGGTGTTATGAGTGGCCACTTCCTCCAACATTACTTACCATTACCCAAACCAGGTACAGCAAATTGGGATCTAATGAAGTTAAATAGAACTATAGCCTGTCTAAAGTCAACAGAAAATCATATGCAGCTATCTGGAGCTAATAAATATATAAACTATGGCAGTAGGACTGAGCTATAAAATCCACCTTGCAGATCCCATATGACCAGAGTCTAGGTCTTAAGGGCAAAGGGATGATGGTAAAGTATACTTTCCTCATTTACATAAAGCACAATGATTAAGAATACTGCCTGGGAAATGTGTCACAAGTTCAATTCTCTCTTCTGCCTACAAGGAATTGGGATCTAAATCTCCAAGGAGTATGTGTTCAACTTTCAAGCCATTGATTATTTTGAACTTTTTTTGAAACACTTTAGATCAATAAGCAAGAAGAGGATCAGGATTCAGCAGCCTAGTTCTTAGGTTCTTTGCCAGTTCTTCCTTTCTATGTTATTTTCAGATTTAAAAGATATCACTGAAGATCTGAACAAGTATTCAGCCCCACAAAAAACATCAAAAATATACTTCTTGAAATTTCAGACTGGGAGATTTGCAGGACCTCAGATAATAGTTGAGCAGTGATAAAATATACCTCACCAAAATTGAGGAACTATGTAAAGCAAACTCTTTGAGTCACAGAGACTTTACCTGAAAAGACTTGGAGCCTTCATTTTAATGTAAAGAACTGAATGGTTCTTTTCTAATATGACTCCTATGCTTCATGTAAGTCCTTCTTGTGAAATCTGACCTAATAAAACCAAATGTGCATCATCAAATAGTCAATAATTGCAGGTTACAAAATTAGATACTTGGTTTTGATGATGGCTGTCAAGTACTTGAACTAACACTGTGTACTTGAACTTACCTCGTTCTTCCTAGGATCATTTCCAGTTCTACAGCCTGTTTTCAGTAAAATTGGAAAATCTGTTTTCCTCTAGTAAGGAAAAAATCCTAGAAATCGACTTCTCCAGTCATACATATAATGACATCTTGAGTTATGTATGAACTGTGGGTCAGAAGTTCTCTGCAGTGTCTCCTGCAGTCCTCCCTAGTCCAAACTAGGAACCTGCCTGGACAACAACATAACCCTTAGGAAACCTAAGCTTTCTTCTCATGGAACACAGGGAGTGGGTAGAACTTCAGATGTGTACACTGGGTCTTGCCCCAACATGAAGCTAGGACATGGCCAAGTTGCACACCTGGAGTCAGCAGCTGGAAAATGTTCCCAACACCCAAGTTTACACCCAGTCTTTGGGAACAGAAATTCTTCCATCTTCCTGAAGCAAATATTGACACAGAGTCTGATACAGATAGGCAGCTAGTCAGATCCATAGGACCTAATTTGATTCTTGGTGGGATAATGACAACCTGACTCCAATGGAAGGTGAGGTCACTCATGGCTGCACACACCAGAACCTGAGAACAGATTCTGAAGACAGACTAAAGGCAAATAAAAAGCCCCCAAACAAAGCTTCACAAGAGATTTACTGGTAGCTTAAACCACCCCAGTAAAATAAAATCATTTTTACCACTAATAATAATTCTGGCTGAATTTTTAATAGAAATGCATACGATCTTTGAAAGACTGAATGCCCTCAAACTGTCATGCAGTTTGCAAGTGCCAATGAACTGTTTCTAAATATATTAGACTATGTTGCATGGATTGGGGAACTTAGATCCTTTGTTTTATAACAGCTAAATGGTATTTTCTCTCCTGTATCCAACTCATAGATCAGGTCAGACAAGTGATTCACCCCTCTGACATATGCTAAGTCGTTTCAAAATTTGGTAGGTTGATCAGTTGCCTCTGCTATAACTTTGTTCCACCTTTAAATTCTCTGTTGACGGTAAATAAATTTTCCCTGATCTCAGATCACTTCCGAGATATCCGGTCTTTTCATTTCTTTAATGGAAGAGGAGACAAGAAGAGAAAAGTCAAGGCCTTCTTTACCAGGCAGGAATTCCCAGGTTCTCCCAGGTTCAACTAAAAGACACTTTAGTTGCAGCTCAAAGATTTCTACCAACAAAAGTAGCTTACAAGAAAACACAATAATGTTTAAATGCTTCGTGATACTTACTCAGAACTGTTTTCCTCTCTTTCTTTTGAATCAGATGATGAAGGTGACGCATTTTCAACAAGTAAAGTACTGCTACCTACATACATTTGTTTGCATTTTTAAATATGGTTGCCTTCTGACTGATTTGCAGTGGTAAGCAACAGTTTGAAAATCTGATTGCAAGCTCACAGTGACAGAGGTAGATAATTACTATCTGCACAAATATCTATAAGTTAAATCACTTGTTTTAATACAGATTAGATTAGTATTAAAGTTACAAGATTGGTATGAGAGACATGATAAATGTAGTCATGACAGAAAACAATTTTTAATTTAGTATACCCTATCAATCTAGATAGCCCATGAATATTTACTATTAATTCAGTAGGCTGCAACAGAGGGGGAAAAAAGAACAAAAAATAGAAGGTTTGACCTAAAAAAGGACTGAGGGAAAAAAGAGAATTCTCAGCAGTTTTACTGAGAATGGATCTGGCAAAAACGTGAACTGGCAACAGATTGGAAAATACATTTGGGGTACCATTATAAACAAAGTCTTTAAAAAAACTGAATGACATGCAAAAATAGTATAAATTCTTAATATGTACTTCTCTTTGCAGGATTTACCAGTCTGATTACACTTAGATGAGTAACTTCAAAGGCTGAAATAAAATCGTTTATGGAAATTCAAAACAAACCTATTTGATCACATCATACTTCACAGCAGGGATACAATTTGCAGAGGCTGGGTGAGGGCACAGTATAAGCTAAAACAGGTTGTGTGTGCAGTGAACCAAACTAAATGGTTTATATAAAAGAAATGTTGTTGCCATTAATTTTTCTGGTAATCCTATTAAAAATGCCACCTGTCCAGAATAGAATTGTCCAGATTTTAATTATTTTTCATATATCAGTGTTCAAACACAAGAATGAGAAGGTATCATCTTATATCTATCAAAATATGGCACAAAATGTCTTATTCTGAAATCATTACTGCAGCAGTTTCTCTAGCTCTGTTTCAATGTCTGACTATTATACCTTTTACTTTTCTTATTGTGCTCAAAACACTGATTTTTCTGATAAGCCCAAAGAATATTTTTTCAAAGGATATGTCATATTTCTAACCTCTCTTTAATCAAAATTTTTCTACTCTATAATACTTAAAATTCACATATGTTAACTAAATATAACATGAAATGTACCTTTTAAAATTCCACCACCACCCCTCCAAAATCCCCTGTAACAAGCCTGAACAGGAACTTAACTTTGAATACCAACAGAGATGAAATGGTGTCATAATCAGCATAAGTGCATGTGGACTATTCACCTAGATCAAACACTTTGGTTATATACTCAATTAAATTTAAATCCCATTATATAATGTGTACCAGGCTCATTTTATGCAATTCTCTAATTTAATGGCTTGGTATTAGCCTTTTTCCTTTTTGCACACATGGACTAATTTTCACGGTCCTCAGCCCCTTTGGGAAGTAGGTCATTAAAGTCAACTGGATGGAGACAGAAACTTAATACCGCAACAGTGTTATAGAAGGGTCAGAGACACAAAAGTAATGTAAAAATGTTTTTCACTCATATTTCTTTGTAATATTTATGAAATTCCTCCCTCGAAGAAATATTGTTCATTAATCTCAAGGACCACAAAGTAGAAGAATCAAAAAAGCTATCATCCTGTTATAATTTAATTTGTGAAACAAACAACCAAATTAAAAAAAAAAAAAATCACAATTATAATACTATTGAGCGGTTGAGACAATACTTGTTTTACACTGAAACAATAGAATCATATTACCTTTCTCAATGTGTATTCGTTTTGCCTCATGCCCAACATCATGACCAGCCAGATCACCCTCCTTAGGACCCGGCAGGACATTAGGTGACAAACCCATCAGCATTTGGTTCATAGATAGCCCGTTCTGATGGACAGCTGCCAGACACAAGCACAGGCAGAAAGAAAATCAGACGTCATATCAACAATACACTTTTGTACTTATTTTATATAGTCTTTCTCTTAACTTTACAAGAATGCTATCAATCACAAAGTTACTTAATTAGTGCTATCAGTATCCATACAGCAGGAGAGTTTCTTGTTACTTCTGTTTTAAAACAATTAATTTTAGAAAGAACAGTTCAGTAACTTTGGACAAAGTTAAATATTTGCAAACATTTTCTTGTTTATTTAACAGTAACTGAAATGCAAAATGAAGCAAACCAGGAAAGCATAGAAAGCTCTTTGTGATATACTTACAGATTATTTTTTTTTCAGTCAGTTGTACAAAACCTTGAGCACCATCATTCCCAATATGCAGTCGCTAACTTCCTTAAATTAAGCATTGTAGCTTTCCAGGTCATAAACACTGTTTTTCAAAATATACTGTGCAACAGTAGAATTGTTTATTTGCTCATCAGATAGCTTGAAAAGCTCTTTCCAACAGTTACTAAACAGACCTCAGAAACCCATTTAAGGTAGTTTATATCCCTATGCTTTTATCCTGAAAAAATGTATTTTCAAGAGGCTTATGCCATTTTCAGTAAAGCATTTTTTCATATGTAACCCCTGTTTCTGTAGTAGTCATCATACTGTTTCTAGCACCACAAAAGCAGTTATTTTATAAATAAATAAACTACTGAAGTGATCCTGTATTGAAGGAACTCTGTTACTTTCACACTGGAAGAAACAATGTGCAAAGGTCCCATTCCTCTCTGCTTGTAAGTAAGCAGAGAAAGCTGTATAGTACCATTAAAAAAAAAAAAAAAAAAAAAAAAAAAAGTAATTCCTTAGCAAAAACAGATCTCTCAATTTAATTTAATTTACTTATTTTTATTTAGAGAAAATGGGAAAGGTCTTCTATGGTTGTAAAAAATATACTGTTCAATCAATTAAAAAAAAAAAAAAAATCTAGGGTTGTGAGGTTTTTCCCAGAACTTTACTTATGACCTCTGTGGTGGATTGACTCTGGCTGGCTGCCACGTGCCCACCAAAGCTGCTCTATCACTCCCCCTCCTCAGCTGGACAGGGGATAGAAAATGTAACAAAAGGCTCATAGGTTGAGCCAGATGAAATAGGTCACAGTATATGGGATGCCAGTTCAATCTGCAATCTGAATTGTCCAAGTGACAAGAAAACAGAATTTTCAGCTTGTCATGGTCAGGCCTCATTTCTTTACATTGGTAAGTCATTTTTCATCACATAGTAATGAAAGATCTTTCATATGAAGGTCAAAGAAGAGTCAGCTTCCTGAGTATGCAGAGAGCCTGAATGGAAGCAGTCTAAAAGACGTGCTGCATTTAATCAGCACAACTACGTATTTCATATAGCTATTTCCTGGCCTTCTATCTGCATGCCAAATCCTCCAGTTTCACCTACTGACAAATTCCATGCTGCATAGATATCTTAAAAGCACAAAAACCTGTAACGGAGCAATAATAAAAGGAATGGGCAAATAAAATATGAATTTAAGTAAATATCCATAAAATAACATGCTTAAAACCTTAATTTCCAGGTTGTTGCACTGCAATATCACAGAATTCAGGGTCTTTGCCATATAATTCACATCCTGTACATGGAGCTTTGATAAACATGGTATCACTATGAGACCATGGTTTAATTTCACTCTGTCCCTTGTGAGCTATGAGGTGATAATACTCTCTGTATCGTATTTCTCACCATTACAAATTTTTATATTAAAAAAAATTGTAAAGTATGCATTTTTTTAAATTGATTTAACCTAATTCTTCTCTTTACCAAGCAATTCTACCATGTAAAATGTTGCTTATGAAGTCAGATTCAATTTAGAAATCAAACCAGAGTAACCAGATTAAATAAAACTCAATTTCTTTAAAAAATATTTACACTATATGTTCAGTTCTAAAACTAATCTAGCAAATTGCTTCCTGGCTGCAATTCTGTATTTCATAGCTCATATCTTTATGTTTAATGTGACATGATGGCAGTTTATATCAGTACCCGTTAATGTAGCATCAGATATTATGATACTGTAAACTGGGGAACATAATGTTGGGAGATAGTTATTGCAGCTGAACTTCCGAACATGATACATATGAGATCTATTTAAGATGAGGGCATTTTGATTAGAAAAAACAGCTGCATCTAATCAAATTTAAAGTGGTGACAAGGAGAAGAATGTGTGACCTACGGATTCTGTCTGAAGAGCTCTCGGTCCGTGCAGGAGAGCTGGACACACTGCTGCTTCGATGAGAGGATGGATGACTGCCAGGTCTTCGGCCCTCTTCAAGAGAAGGAGCAGGAGAAGGGCTATCTGGAACACGTTCCTAGATACCATGAAAAATAATTGCAAAAAAGGCAATGTTAAACTACACCTCTGTTTCCAAACATCACTTACCTAAACTGTATTTAAGCAAGCAAAATTTGGCAATTTTAGGACACTAGACCTTACATTTTAGTATGCAATGTGAGTGCTGATCATTCTGTCGGGCTTTTAATCTGCCTTCTGGACTACTTATAAAAATAAGGATTTTGGTTTGCTTTTTTCTTTTTTCCCCCCCTCATTTCTATCAGCATGCTTTTGAATTGGAAATACACATTTTGGCTTATAGACTTTTAGCCTTACAGGATGAAGAACAATGTACTTTTGTAAATAAATAAAGACCAGACACTGTTGTTTTAGTTTATGCTGAATTTTACTCCATGTTTAATTTCAGAGGGACTTCTTGAGCAATGAGATCTTATGGAACTGCTGTAGATCATAAAGAAAATATAATCTCCCTACTGAATCTATACCAGTAACATGGCTGATGAAAGTCCAGATGACTGTTCATGCCATGGAGCACAGACCTGGAATGAACAACACTTTTTGGAAGAGTGTGGCCATATCACTGGCCATATCACTACTTCAGAATGGGGGAAAATGCCCACTCATGTTTTTCTATCCGGGTGAAAGCCTGGCATAGTAGCCAAGAGAAGCCATGATGCACTTCAAGTTGTTCCTTGATTTTGAAAATTAGAGCATGAGGACTGTGATGGTTTGAATTGCACTTCTGCTATGTTTGAACTGTCAATACGTAGCAGATATATCTGATATTTACACAGAACTTTGACAGGACCAATAAACAAAGGGAGCTGAGTGAAGAACAGTGCTTTCTAGAAAATTCTCTATCTTTCCCTGTAGTTTCTTTTTTATTGCTAATAGCTCCCAAGACTTTAGGTCATTGCTAAAATATGTGTGAGTTAGATTGGTTTGGTCTAATAGTGCTAAAAATAAATAGTTCCTATAAGGGAAATTTATTGGAGGGACTGAAAATGTTAAACTAGGGTTTTTCTGGTTGTTGGTTTGGGTTTTTTTTTTTTGCCTTTTGATAACTGAAATCCTGATTCCTAATGAAAAAACAACCAACCCAAATCAAAACCAACCAACAAACAAACAACTGTATACATTCAACTCACTAAAAGCTTTTGGTAACGATTAATAACACATATGAAAACTTGCTGCTGCAAATGACTAAAAGTTTTCCTAAAAAAGAGCATCATGTTCCTCACACTGCAGCAGTCATTATTTTTCATGCATATTGGCTAGCTGAATATTTCTCTGAATGCATTCCTATGAAACTTAGCAATATGCCCATCTATAGCGATCAACAGATTTGTTCAAGGGAAGCTTCACAATAAATATTGGCTAAACTTGAGATTCTGATTGCAAAAGGATTCAATGGGTCTATTGATGGAGTGGGAGAACAACTTTCAGAACAATGTTTCAAGACATTTAAGTGGATTCAACTTTAATAGTCTTGGGGTTTTAAGTCAAAAACATTGATGAGGACAGTTTAACTGTATCATAGCTCTAGGCTTATTATGACTTTGATTGTGTTTATATGTCCATGAACTGGGTACTCAAGAGGAGGATTATAATGCAGATGTTTTCAGAATATAGAAGATTTATTTCTTTAGATTTAGGAGGATTTAAACATGCACAGTGTACAGACTTGGTTTAAATTGGAGCACGGTATATTTAATCATTCATTTAAAATATAAATTCACTGTTTGGCATACAATGTATTGTTCTTAGAAGGGTTTCATTAAAATAAAATCCAGTGAGCACATAAGATTTGAATACAGAGCTGAAGAGTAAATTAATTTATTTAAACAGCTTAATTTGTTTATCCTATTTACTTATGTGTGCTTTTACAGCATGTATTATGAGATGGAGAGAGCAAAAGGAATGCACGGGACAACAAAATATAATTACTGTGCAAACAAAACAGATAATGAGTTTTATTCACATATAATAAGACATAGCAAACTCTATGAAAAAACTATATAGATTGGCTTTATCAATTCATTTGTAAAATACCCTTTAACCCCAACAAAACATGGCATTGAACTATGCAGAAATGGAAATAAATTAATTTAATACCTTAAGTCATTTTTTATATCCTTGCTTCATAATTCCACAATCAATAATATAGTCTATAGCAATTTTTTGTCTTTATCAAAACTAGCTGCAGTAACAAATGGAAATGTTGCTAATAATATATTGAAATACTCTGTAGCTCTAAAAAGTCAGAGTGATAAACTAATGGTGCTGGAATATCAATATAATCTGTCTTCCTTACTAGAGATTTTGTATATAAAAGATGGATTTTGTCTGTGGTAAAATATTAACTTTACATTTAGACTTCACTTTAAAATTTTTCAGAAAAGTAAATGTGTAAAAATGTGTTCAGTAAATAACTCAGAATATCAGAACTACTTTGTACCTTCTTCAAAATGCCACCTTTGTACAAGTAGGTGGACATGACACCACAGCAAAGAAAAAGAATCTACTGCATTATATACCTGGCAACAGAAATCACCTAGGATACTGTCCACTGTCCAGTATTTTTCCTAAAACTTGTCTAATCCCAGGACAAACTTAATTCCACTTAATTAAAGATAACTCTGGAGAATATGGTGTTGGCTTGTCCTGTAATTAGGCTGTCTCCCAACAAACAAATAAATAAATAAATAAAATCTGAGTGTCTTTGCTTAGCTAAAACTAAGAGGAAGAAACCATGCAGGGTTCAGCTTGACATCAACACATCTGGATGTAAGTACCTAAATGCAGTTTTGACATATGAGCTAGAGATGAAACTTCAGACACCTGTATCTAGGATGCTACACAAAGGAGCCCACCTTGAAGGTAAGTTGTCTCCCATTTCAGTCAAATGAGATATAAAACAGTGGAGCCTCCTCCAAAGCCAGATACCTACAGCTCAATTCAGCTGCTCACATTTGAGCCATTTGAACCACTGAAGGGTTTTGAGAGGTCCACACCAGGTTGACAGACAGGACCTACAGAAGATCTGCTGCCTTCTGGAGCAGCAGCAGGATGACAGAAACACTATCCTTGCACTTACTGCCTGATGAGCTGAATAGCTCCCAAAACTCTGTTGGCAATATTTACTAGAAAGCTAGAAATACAGAACTATTTATCACTTGTAAAACATAATGCTCACTAGCTACCCTTTTTCCTTCATTTTTTGCTTCTCTATTTCTTTCTACAGGTACTCAAGTAAAAAGTAGTGTGAACAATTTAGGGCATATGTAACAATTTAACATATAGTCAACCAACTTCTAAAATTGCTAAGACTCTCAATTAGGCATCAGAACTGGAGCCTATACTAAGCAATGGACAACATACTCTTAAGGGCCAAATTTGAAGCATTCCTTAAATTGCTGCTCTTTACAATCTGATCCAAATCATTAATCCTAAGCATTTAAGAATCTGACATTTAACTGCTAAAATGCTCCTACCACATATGAAACCTTCACTTTAGGGACCTGCAATGCCCTTTCCTGTATTCTTACTCCACTGACTTTACAAGTTACACACCCTCAACATCAAGTCCATTTCATAAATAACAGAATTATTCCTGTGACACTGGACTTTTTTGTTTTTTTGTTTTTTTGTTTTTTTTTAACTTGTAAAGAACAGGCAAAAGATTTTATCTGTCAGAGATTTTAACTTACAAGATTTAAGTTTTCTCTAGAATTAGAAACCACTGCAATTTTGTTCCAGAATACCACATATCACCCACAATGTAACACTGTCTCAGCCTCTCCAAGTAAAACAGAAGTGTCTTGATATATTTCTCCACATTTTTCTACGTTTTTCAATAGATGCACAGATGCAAAGGCCATACTGTAATATCTCATTCCCAAAGTTCCTTTTAAGTAACTTCCTATTAAGATTTATCTTAACATAACAGTAATGGTACCCAGAAGTCCATAAATACTTTCCTCCCTATATCATATACGTCTTTTTCTTTTTACCAGGTCACAAAGGTAGTTATTCAATATTAATCTCTTTTTTTGCTTATAGGGGTATATTGATTTTAAAACTATTCAGCTGTATTGATGATCTTCGGCATTGAATACACTCCTTTAAGGATGTTTGTGCTTTAAGTCATTGAAGTGCAGAGGATAAAATAGCTTCTTTTCATCATTATATTTTCCAATAGTTCAGGTAACTTCATACTGGGGAAAGGATATATGACACACACTGTTTCATACACTGTTAAATTAAAAACAAAAACAACAAAACCAAAACCAAACCCAAAACCTTTTAATTAGGAATAGTTTATAATATTCCGATCTTTCTGGGAAGGAACCTGGCTTTCAAGCCTTTTTGTGGTAAAATTATAATGATCTCTTTCACAAAGACCAAAACACAGACTTCTTGCTCTTCAGTTCCTTACTGACCTATTTTGAACTTGTGTGAGAAGTTTTGCAGGAGTGGCTTTCTTGTAAAATGGCGTATTATCTGACTTTGAATTAGATGAATGAATGGAAGAAATTAATAACTTGGCTATCTTTTGTGTTCCCTGCAAACAGGATGTTTTGCTTTTACAGTTTCATTTTTCCTTGAGCCTTAGTCTAAAACACTATGAGACTCCAAATTAATGTTTAGTCCTAAGAATTAGAAGATGAATTGGGCTAATATTTCATAACTTCCTCAATCACTACTATAAAATGTGTGTTATCAAAATGAATGCTATAAGTTTTCATTTCTATTTCCTTATTTGCATACCATCACTAGATTGCTAAAGAACTTGCTAACTTCCCAGTGATGCATGTCATCATTCTCACCTTGATCTTATAGACACACTTCTAATCCCAGTCAAAATTCAGAAGTTCAAATACTTTGTATTGTCATTAATTGCACTATTATTTTAAATAGCGGATCTATTTCGTATAAAGAATATAATCCATGATACTTGCATGACTTTTTTTCCTCTCTTTGTGAATATCCTTAACTTATTTATCTTTTGGACCA